ACACCGCGCGCGCGCACACACACACACACACACACACACACACACACACACACACACACACACACGTGGGCTGCGCTATGATCAACCCACGTACGCCAACAGACGAGAATGATTGTAATCTACTTTTTAATTATACGGGCAAGATATCGGCTGCTGATTACATCACATCGAGTGCCGTACACGTCATCGGTTACGTCATCACACACGTTATCGCACTTTGTGTATCGCCCACAACACATCGATGTATGCGGCGGCATAGGTGAAAGAGATACCACAAGGTGGCTGGCCGATTTAAGGCAAAACTAAACAAACAATAGAATAATTTACATGAAATGCCTTATACTTATTGTGATTTGCAATAATGAATGTTCATTTATAGGAAAATATAATAAATTGTTGTTTACATGTACATTGTTATGTGCATTGTTATGTGCTGCATGATTTCAATATAATGTGATGTCGATTTATTTTGTTTGTTTCTCGTGTTGTGATCGGAGATATTTCGACAATTATTGTCATGCAAATAAACAATGCTCTAAACCTCTAACCCCAAAATGGTTTTATGAACCGCTTCGTTTTTTAGGCTTTAGTATACTGCGAGTAAAACTTACCTGTCAATATCCCACTACTGCACGTGCACGTGGTGTCGTCGCCATTGTCGTCATCGCTGTTGTTGTTGTTGTTGCTACTGCTGCTGCTGTTGTTATTGTTGCTCCTGCTGCTGTTGTTGTTGTTGTTGTTGTTGTTGTTGCTCCTACTGCTGCTGTTGTTGTTGTTGTTGCTACTGCTGCTGCTGTTGTTGGTGATGTTGCTCCTGTTGTTGTTGTTGTTGTTGTTGTTGTTGTTGTTGTTTTCCACTACGTGATCAAGAAACACTCGCAGGCTTTCGACATATACTCCGGCGTCGGTGCTTGTCAGCAGTTGTGTGTATATAAGATCCACACAGACGCGCAAACCTTCGTCACACTTTGTAGAACCCGCGTAATTACATGGCACGGTGAGCGCACACATTCGCTGAATCACCAGATGTCGCTGCCCACTCTCTCTCTCTCTCTCTCTCTCTCTCTCTCTCTCTCTCTCTCTCTCTCTC